AATGAGGTGCCCTTTTGTGGGCAAACTTATCTAATGTACACAGTGGAACACTGCTCAGCAACAAAAGTGAATGAGCAAACAAGATGACTGACACAGCAAACTGGGGAAATAGCCAAAAACTTACATTGAGCAAAAAAGCAAATTCCGGAGGATCTCATTTCTAAATAATTTCTGAAAATAAAAATAAAGGGACAATACAGTGTCAGTCGTGAGGGTTCAGAGTGAGGGCAAAGATGAGGAGCAGAAGTATGTGAGTATGGTTGTAAGAGGGCAACACAAGGGATGTGTTTGGATCTATTAGAGTTCTGACTGCAGCAGACATGTAAGCCTACACAGGTGGTCAACTATTCACAGCCCAGAAACCCTTATAAGAACACTGGAAAAATCTGAACAGCCCTGATGTTTGAACTGTCTCAGCATTGGGGTATTAATATGATAGTCAAGTTTATAGAATGCTACAACTGAGGAAAACCAGGCACAGTACACGGCTAGTACATTTGGATAACTGCATATTAGTGTACACTTATCTCGATAAAAATTTTCAACCACATTAGAAAATAAAATTTGTTACTATTCATTACCCAAATTGACTTCCTCATTTACCTAGTATTTTTACATAAACTGAGTAGATTTTGTTACGGAAGACAAACACCGGAAATTATGCCATATCCCTTTCATCTGTTTCTATCTTGATAAATGATTGTTTTATTGGTTGTTTTTTTTTTCTTTTTTGGTAAATTATCTGCACCAATAATGGTTTAAAAAATATATAATAAACCAGAAAAACACTTCTCAAATCCAAGACATCTAAGACAAGGGATATCAGCATATTCCTAATTTTGTATGGCCACAGGTTTCATTCCCAAAGCTGCAAAAATACCTTTGTTCGTGATCTTTAGGGTGTACCTGCTTCAAGACTGTAGGGAGTTCATGTGACCTGTTGAGACTCAGACACTGTCACCCTCACTCTATTGAAAGATCATATATGTGGCATCACAGAGTTCTATAGTCCTGTGATGCCCAAGAAATACAACAGGCAGCCTTCATTTTGTTCCACCGTTTTCTTTTACTGGAAACAGGTAGAAGTTTAGCCCTGAGATCTCCTCAATAGGAGAAAATTCAGCCCTGATATTGGGAACCTAGCAAGACCCAGTAATTAGAGTGGTTATAAGTCTCAGGTAAGAACTTACTACTGCTGTTTTGCTAAATGGTAATGATGTTAAGCTGTCTTCTAAATGTTTAGACCATAAATTAGTGTCACTCTCAACTGAAACAACAGAAGCTTTTTTTTTCCTTCCTTCCTTCCTTCCTTCATTCCTTTCTTTCTTTCTTTCTTACTTTCTTTTTCATTTTTATTCTTTTTTTTTAATTTGTAGTGGACACTGGTCAATGCAGACTTATAATCTGTCAAAGTGGAAAGTAAGAGACTGTGGAGTGCTTAGCTCTAAAATTAGTATCTATCTTATTTTCTCCAGGGCTTGAAGAACATTATTGAAGAGGAAGTAGAAAAGATGGAAGAGACAGGAGAGACAGAGTTTGGGCATGGTTGCTGTGAAACAGTGTCTTCCAATCTTGACATGGCCATTATACATATGATCTTAATGCAGCGGTATCTAATCATGAAAGTCCTTTTCAAAATTGGTCCTATCACTATTTGTTCATGCAAAAACAAAGAATTCAAGTGGCCGTGGCCCTCACTGAGGCATTGTAGGTAGTTAGTAGGTTGTTAGAGACTGAGAAAGGTGTGTATTGGGTTGTTCAGTGATACAACCACGATAAATTGCCCTTGTTCTAGTAAGTAACCTCTAAACCTGAGAGGATTCATAACAAAACTAAGGATATCCAAGAAAATAATAAAAGATATCAAGGAAAGAAAACTTGTGGGAAGAAAGTTTTCACGGGAAGAGAGTGCTAGGGAGAGAATATTGGAAATGATCAAAATTCAGTAGACATATATAGAATGTTGCAAGTGAGTTAAAAAGCAATCCATTCTTCAATCCATTTCACTTCTTGAAATATCCTCAGTTAAATGTCCTCTTTCTCTGCTCACAAATTCAATCTTCTGTAAAAAAACAAAAATACATGAACACAGAAAAACCCACAGAAACAGTTGACCTGATCAAGTGGGAGCTAATTGACCCCAGAATACTGATAGCTGGGAAACCAGCACAGGACTGACCCAGAACCCCTGGATGTGGGTGTTAGTTAGGAGGACTGGGAAGTCTATGGAGCCTCTAGCAGTGGATCAGCATTTATCCATAGGGCACAAATGGACTTTGGGAACATATTCCCCATAGAGGAATACTTTCTCAGCCTAGACACACTGGAGGGAGGGGAAGACCTTGCTCCAAATGATGTGACAGACTTTAAAGAGCCCCATGGAAGCCCCCCCTCCCTGGGCAGCATAAAGGGGATGAAATAGGGACAGGGGAAGGACAGGGAAGTGGGGGACAGGGGAAGAGGGGAGGGAGAGGAATCTGGGATTGTCATGTAAAACAAGATTATAATATAAATAAAAAAATTAAAAATTTAAAAAAGAATGCTAAGTACACAACTAAAATTTTTTTAAAAAAAATACATGAACACAATTCAGCCAAGATCAAATGTGTTTTCTTCCACATTCTAAAACTGCATGGTGAAATTTCATCAATATCACATATTTCCACCAAGCATCTCTAAGTGGCTCAAGCTTCTATCATTGAATTCCAAGGTCCCTCATGCTTTAGGCAGTATGCACAATTTCAGTTCATTTTGATATCAAAATGTGTCTTAGTCCATGCTGCTGTAATGAAGTGCCATCCCTGCATGGTAGAAACAACACAATTTTTTTCTCACTCTTATGGAGACTGAAAGTCTAAGATTAAGACACAAGCAAGATTGCTTTCATTCAGGATCCCCTTTCTGGCTTTCAGGTGGCTGAAGAGATCTTTCATTCCATTTATATCCTATCAGAACAAATTCCACTTTATTTCTTAACATTAATCACCTCCTAAAAGCACTTTCTTAAATATAATCAAACTGGTAAGAGATGCTCCCATATATAAATTATAGGGAGACACAACTCTGCCCAAACAGCAAGCTTTCTATGTTGGAAAGGAGATGGCCAGTAATTTAGTTATTTAAGGTATACCACATCACCATCTTGTAGATATTATCATCAGTAGTGTTTGAATGCTTGGAAGGACTTTTATGCAAACACAGTATTGAAGGAAATGCCATTATGTACAGATCATTTTAATAACACACACACACACACACACACACACACACACACACACACACACACACACACAAACATGCCTACAAACCAATACCCAGTTTTTCTTTCAAAATAATTTGCTTACTTGCAGAGTACTGTGGCACCAACTCACATCTAAGGATATAACCTTGAAGGGTCATAGTGGACTCTGATGATTTAATGTAATCGAAAGATGCTATGAGAGCACACTGAGTCTACTTGGTATTTACTCATATCAAGAAGATACTTCTTTCTGTACCTTGACCTAGAACTCATTTAAACCTGTCCCAGCAAGCTGTAGTTTAAGTGTTCTTTTGGTATTTCCTTCAGGGAAAAGTACTGAAACTTGATAGCTCTTATGTGTAATATTCATTTTTCATCCCTTCCTAATACTGTTCTTAAGTCCATGCTTGTCCCGTTCTTCACATACAGGTTTTCCTCTACATTTCTTCTATGTATCTCCACCTAAACACAGTTTCTGCAGTATGGTGGTTATCATATTTGCCTCACATTTCTGTATAATCATGCCTAGCCTTTAGACATTGAGACATGACACTGTCATCTATGATTTTCACATTCAAAACCAAATATTTAAATTACAAAAAGAGTCCACAACTAAGCACTGAGCCATACTCCTGAAATCCAATTGTAGAGATGGAAGAGATATGAGCAAAGAAGTCAAAAAACCTACAGAAACAGCTGACCTGAACTAAGGAGAGCACAAGGACTGGAGTTGTCAAGCTGGGGAAACAACATTGGACCGAACAAAGCCCTCTGAATGTGGGTGCCAGTTAGGAGGCCCGGGCAGTCTATGGCACCTATAATAGTGGAACCAGCATTTATCCTTAGTACACAAATGGATTTTGGGAGCCCATTCCATGTGGAGGGATTCTATTTCAGCCCCCATACATAGAGGAGGGCCTAGGGCCTCACCTAATTATTTGACAGAATTTTATGGAAAGCCTCACTATCCTTGGGGAATGGGTGGGGGTGGATTGTGGGTGGTTGGTGGGGGCATGATGAATGGTTTGGGAGAGGGGATGGGGAAATTGGTATATTACTATGATTGCTTCTAAAAAAAATAAATAAATCTTCCCATAATGCTTTAAGTTTATAATTTTGTGGTTGGCATTATTTCTGTGGATTGTGGGTTGAACTCACCCTTGTCTTTTGATTTAGCTATTATACTTCCATATTCTTGGTGGGTCTGATTGAAGTAGTTTGTAAAGCTATGTTATCATTCCAATATGAAAGGACTGACACTAGGAAGTGGCTTTCAACTACTTCTTACCTCACCTATAGTGATTTATGTACCTTTTACTGATCAGTGGGCAGATCAGTTTCCTGATTATTGCAGTTTTCAAACTGATTGATAGTTTTAACTAATTTGTTCACTGAGCATCTAGACACATCTAAGTAATAATTTGGAGTACATATATTCTCTTTTAAATAATATGTTGCCAGAGTAATTAAAGGTACATTTTCTATGAACTGTGGAATAAGTTTCCTTGATATTTTGAGAGGGCATCAATAGTAACAGTTTGTTAGAGTCTGTGACACTTTGTTAGCATTTGTGTGGATTAAGATATTTGGTACCTAGGCAATGGTTTTATCTGACAATTAGCTTTAAGATTTTTCTCATGTATATACTCTACAAGATGACAGAGGACATCATATATTATTTTCATCATATTGGCATCTTTTTAATCATGCATCATTAATATAATCAAAAACATTTACTCTGTGTACATAGAAAATGTGAATCTTACACACCTTCATCCAAGGCACTTTCTGCTGTGGTCTCAGGACAGGAACCTAATGACAGAAAAAAAATATTAAAAAGGAGATTATGCAATACCAAGACATAAAACTAAAATATGATTTAAACCTTTATCTGTGATTACAATGTATATCTACCTACGTATTAACTTTAAAAGATGTATTATCTTTTGCTTTTTTAATTAAAGTTCAATAACACATAAAAGGGTGAGCCATAAGTATGCTGATCCAGCTCTCACTTTGAACCTCTAAGAAACTCTATTTCTTTATGTCGTAAGCCTTTTTGCCTCAGGATTAAGGGTAGGAGCAGATTCTAATTCACAAATCTGTCAGTTTTATGCCAATAATCATACTTCACACTTTTCAAATGTTCTATATAATTTATCTTCATAATAGTAGGAAGAAGAAACAGGTCAAACAGATTGAATAATAATAAAAGCCTGACAACATTTGCTCATCAAAAAGTGGCAGTGCACACCAATTAAAGCTAACCAGGAGTCATTATCATGGTAATAATGCATTCAAGTTCCTCAATGAGTCTGGAATGAATGCCCAAATAATGGACTTGAATGTATTGTTTAAATGAATTTGGGCACTTTAGGAAACAAAAGATTAAATAGAAACAAATATGCTTATTTTAATTTTATTATTCTTTTAGATTTCTAATTTCCAAATATTTTCAAAGACATACTCCATCAAAGCACATATCTAAATATGAGGACTTGCTTGGCAAATGTGTTGTAACAATTATAAGAACTTTAGTGGAATGTATAAAGGATAAAGAAAACCCATGTTTATGTGTGTTTTGATGACTTATCGACCTATCAACCCAGACATATTAAATAAATACATACATACATACAGAAGAAAGAAAAAGCATTCAGAACACAATAAGCTTTATTATTTATAACAGTATGCTCAAGTGAATATTTTACATCAAATGGTAAATAACGATAGAAACAATTAAAACAGTTTTCTTTTACATTTCATTGTTTAACAATAACCTCATATTACTTTGTTCTTAATGGTACCAACATAGACAATCAAGTCAACTGAACTTAAATGGTAACTAGGTGATATAAATTTCTGTAAAGAACTGATGCAGGAGAGTCTCACAATAGGAAGAAACCAATACAATGAGCATTCTACAGTTAGGGAAATACAGTCAAGATAAAGATGCACAGGAAAGTATATACATATATGAATGCACAGACATGAGAATACACAAATGCACACATATATGCACACACACACACACACACACACACTTTTTGGAATTCTTCACAACAGGGGTGATAGGGTTAAGAATCACTATATATGATGGTGGACAAGGTAGTCGTTTGTCTCATTATCAGGGAAGGGCATTTATGGTAGCCTTTCCACTGTTGCTCAAATTGTTAGTTGAGGTCAGTCTTGTAGGTCTCTGGACATTTCTCTAAAGTCAGTTTTCTCTTCAAACCTATAATGGATCTCTCTTTTATGGTTTCTCTCTTCTCTCTTCTCTCTCTCTCTTTCTCTCTCTCTCTCTCCTCTCACCTATTCCTCCCCTGACCCAATCTTCCTAGTTCCACATGCTTTCTTAATAGAGCCCTCATCTAGCATCTAATGGAAACAGAAACAGACACCCACAACTAAACACTGAGCCAAACTGGAATCCAGATGCAGAGAGGGAGGACAAGACCAGGCTACAGAAACACATAGAGACAGCTGACCTGAACAAGGAGGAGCTAATGGGACACAAGATTGATAGCCTGGGAATCCATCAGGGGACTGACTCAGACCACTGAACATGGGTTTCATCTAGAAGGCCTGGGCAATCTAAGGGACTTCTGAGAGTGCAAATAGGATGTATCCCTGGTGCACAAAAGGACTTTGGGAGCACTTCCCCCATGGAGTGATACTCCCTTAACCTAGAGGCAGGAGAGAAGGCCTAGTCCCTACTCCAAATGACTTGACAGATTTACGTGATCACTCCTGGAAGGCATCACCCTACATGTGGAGTGGGGGTAAGGTGGGAGGGGAGGGTGGTCAGGGCATGGGAGGGTGGGAGAGAGGGGAAAAGGAGGGTAGGGGGAGGGAGGGAGAAAGGGCAGGAGGGAGGGAGAACTGGGATTGATATGTAAATCTTAAAACAAGCAATTCTTCATATTATGATCCTAAAATGGGCAGGGATTATGATTTTCTATACTAGAATAAACACCAATAAAACCATCATTCATAAACACAACACACACACACACACACACACACACACACACACACACACAAGAAAGAATCACTCTTTACATTCACAGCTATATAGAGAAGACAATTCTAGATGAAATTTTTGTTTTATAGTTAAAACTAGAATAGAATGCTTTCTGGATTTGGATCTTTGTTTTTTGTATAGGCAATATGAGTTTTATACAACTTACATCATTCTGTGAAACTCACCTTTCACAGTGAGTTGTTTGTAAATGTTAAATTATTTACCAAAGGTAAATTGCTTAAAATATTATCTGAGACATAAGACACAAGAAGTGGCCAAAAAGTATCATCTCTGAAAAACTGCAAAATGTTGATAAGCTAAAACCTTACCCCCCAAAATTTTGTAATTTAGATTTCTTGATGTACCTTACTCCTCAAATTTCTACTTTACCCTTCATTTTTAGTGTGAAATCGTTCCTTATTATTTTCTTTCTGTTTTGTACAAAATGCCTGAGGAACACAGGCAAGGGGAGAATCTTTTACTTTATGGAAACTGGTGTAAAAATGGCAGTGCTTTTTCCCTTATTTTATTTTGTTGCAATGAAGCTTCAAAATAGACCTTAATAGATATAATTCTGTGTTCAGTGTATATGTGATCTGTACTACTAGAGGAACAGAATGTCCCTTTAAGTGACAGAGATACACTTACCATTCTCTAAATTCAAGAAAGACAACAATCTAAAAGTCTAATGCCTTTGACTGTGCAAGTGAGGTGTCAGGGTTGTATAAAACCATGGAGGTCAGCATCATTGCCAAGCTAAAATGAATTATCATGGAAACATGTGGCACCATAAAGTCAGAGCTGAGCTTAGAAGTATTTAACCAACCTCTAAACACATCAGTTTGGACCCAGAAATAGTCACCACATTAGAGATTGTACTAAATTGTTTGGTGTAGTGTTTGTGATAGGTAGATAAACCGCTGAGAGGCACATTTTATATTAAGAAACAGAACATGTTTTTAAATTTATTTTCCCAAAGATCAATTTATTTGAACTGAAAACAAGATAAAACTGGGCAAATAAACGTCCTCAAAGTTATAGAAACAAAAATAATAACAATGAAAAATGGGGAAAGACTGATAGAAGGAACACAACTTCAATGAAAACACTTCTAAATGTCACAGTGAAATGCAGACACTGATTAACTAGTCGTTTGCATTCTGTGGGTTGCAGGGAAGTTCTTCCATCCTGACTCTATGGAGACTAATTTCTTCTCTCCTATTACCCCAAACATTTAGCAACTTCTGGGCATAATTTTGCTTATCACATAACTAAGGGTGAGTGTTATTGGTACATAGGAGGGTGGTAGGCTACCTGAAAAGGTCTCTATAAAAAATTTGATGAATAGAAAAGAGGTATTTATCCATAAGTATTTGTGTGGTAGTTAAGAGATCCTGCCTCCAGATATGTGGTGGCAAGTTCATTTTCATCCAGCTTTTCATAATCCTCAAAATTTTTGAGAGCCCATCAGTTGCTTATAGTTAGTCTTGCTTGGATAAGCATTTGGACAAAGGATGTTTCAGCTGTTAATCTATTTCATCTCGAAGTGTATATTTTCTTGCCAGTCACCAAGACCTTCCTTCGGTTTGCCTGAAACCTGAAGGTAATTGTGATCCTTTGTCTTCCTCCAAATGTTGCAGAATGTTAGAAAAATTACTCAATTAAATAGTTTTAATTTTATTCTTAGACAGACAGATAGATAGACTGCAAAGACTGCCATTTGATTTGAAATAATTTAAGGAATGGGCAATTTTCTTTTTCATAATTTGAATTATTTTTCATCTGTGCATGTGTTAATGTTTACTGTCAGGATGTATATGTCAGAATATGCCTATAGAAACAAGAAGTTGACCTGGAGTGTAGGACTTTACCTTCCACTTTATTTGAGGCAAGCTCGTTTTGATGCTTATCACTGTGTACACCAGACTAACTGGCATGTGAGCTTCTAGGAATTCTTATTAGAGAAGAACTGGGATTATAGTTACATACTACTGTCCATATTTTTATATGGGTTCTATAAATCTGAATTCATGTCTCTAGGCTTGCCTTGTAGTCATTTTACCCACTGAGCCATTTCTCCAGTGCACAATTAGAAACTCTGACATAATGAGTGGATAACAAATTAAATCATTTTGAGGAAAGTAAAATTATATGGAAATGGTGGCTCAAACCTTTAATCCTACCATTTGAAAAGTAGAGGCAGTAAAATAACAAGTCCAAGATTATCTCTGCTACAAAGAAAACCAAGTTTCAAAGAGTAGATTTCTCTTTTTAGTTTTTTTCCCAAATAAGAAATTAATTACTATCCATAAAATTAATATAGAGTTCCATTAGTATTCATGTAAAAGCATGAAACAAAAAAGAGTTGAACTAAACTAATCTTTAATAGAAACTCAAACATTCTTTAGTAGTTACACCTTAGACCTTTACGTTTTAGGCATTTATCCTTGAATGAGCAAGAATAGGTTTGAACTCTCTGACCACTTCTATGGGTCATAAAAAAAATAAAATAAAATAAAATGACAAGAACAACTTAAGGAAAAGAAGGTTTCATTTTGGCCATATTTCAAATCTACATTTTATCATGGTGAAGAAGTCACAACAACAGTGTTTGAACTGCTGTTCATATTGCATCAGCCATTTATGTTAATAAAAATGCATGTCTGACATAGTTCCATTACAGTTAAGGAAGATTGAGTCAGGGAAACAATAGAGTAGAGCAAGAAAAAAGATACCATAATAGAAGGAGCCATTATAGGTTTGAAGATAAATCTGGCACTAGGGAAAT